GCTGCAGGACGGGCCGGCCTGCGGCCTCCGGTGGCCGCCGGGCTCCCAGGCCCCAGCGGCTGCCCTGGAGCCTCAGGAAACAGGATCCGGGGGGAGCAGGGCGGCTTCAGTGACAGACGGAGCCAACTGCCGCCTCCCGTGGGGCCAGGGCGGGGCCCCGCGCGGCCATGCGGGGAGCCCTGGGGGAGGGCAGACAGGCAGGCGAGGGCCCGGGGAGCACACCCTGCTGGGCAGGAAGCGGTGCCACCGCGCCGTCCCCCGAAGGGCCCCCGCCACAGCAAGGCGGCCCCAACCAGGGCCCACAGCAGGACCTGCGTGCACCCCACACCTGCCCCACGAGCCCCGGCCCACCAAACGTGAGAACCCGTATGAAAAAACACCCAGAGAAACTCAGCAGCCTGCATGGGCCCTCCTGCCAGAGCGCCAAGCTTCGGCGTGGCCGCGGGGAGAGCGGGGGGCCCCGACAGGCAGCGGGGGCCCCAGTCCCCAGGCGCAGGACGGAGGGGCTTCCAGCCACACGGGGCGCAGAGAGGGGAGGATGAGGCCTCGAAGGTGGGCAGGGGCCAGACCAAGGGGCGCTTCCCCCGCGCGTGGAGGGCTGTGCCGAGACACGGGACCAGGCCGCGGGGACTGGCAGCCGTGCCGCCCTTTCCGACACACCCCTACGTCCTCGCGACTCCACACCCACAGCACCTGTGGGACCAGGACCCCCAGCGCGCCCACCTCAGAAGGCTTCCTGTCTCGCCAGAACGTCAACCTCACACGGACCCAAGGCCCCTGCCGCGGAGGCGCTCCTGGCGCAGCTGCCGCCTCGCCCGCTCTGCGCCCTGGGGGCGCGCCAGCAGCCAGCCCCGCAGCTCACGGGGCAGCGAGGGGCGCCCCGATCCGTCCCGGAGCCGGAAGGGCAGGACCCTGGCCCCGCGGGCCCGGCCTTGCAGGGACCAGGGCTCGGAGAGCCAGCACAACCGAGAACAAAGCCGCAGCCAGGTCCGCCTGGTGCTGCGCGCTGCCCGCCGGCGCCGCGCCCCGGCCCCGCTCCCGCCGGACGGCCAAACCTGAAACAGGCGCGTCTCCGACGTCAGCCGCGTCACGAACCGCCAGCACCTGGGAGGCCCGCGCGGCAAACCGCAGCCCAGGACGGTCACCCAGGCCGAGCCCGGGGGTCCCCCTCCCAGGGGTGCCCCCCCGCCGCGAACTCGGCCCGCCAGCGTCGCAGAGGGCGAGCGCGAGCCTGTCCCTCGTCACAGAGGCCAGGGGTCCGAGGTGCATGGCAGCGGGAGACAGGCCAGGTGCCCAGGGCCACCGCCCCACCCCCGTGTCCAGGGCCGTGGCCCTGCGCTCCCTGCCGCCCTCCAGCTGCCCCCAGGAGCCCCACGCCAGCCAGCCTGCTGGTGAGCGCGGGGCAGCCCCTCGGGAAGCCGGGGGCTCTCAGGTCCCCTCAGACAGGCTCCCCAGGCACCCACACCTTCCCGTAACAGGCCCACGTCCCCATGTCCCCCTGCCCACTGGGCAGGGGTCGGAGCCCGGAATCCCGGAGAGGGACCAGCACCAGGGCTGGGGTGTTGACCGAGCGACTCCCACACACCTTACTCGCTGTGGCCCCCCCCCGCCCCCCAGCACCAGTGACACCGGCGTCCGTGTCTCCCCTCCGCAGACCTGCAGGCGGCTGGGTGGGAGCACCCGGAGGCGGCGAGGGCAGCGGGGCACGACGGGGTGCGTGCCTTATCTGGCGCCCGCAGCCAGCAGGGCCCCAGCCCCTCACGGGCCCCTGGCACCGGGCAGGCACCAGGGGCGCCGGCCACCACGCTCAGGACGGACACGCCCAAGCCCCAGCTCCTCAGGACGGCGCGGGGCCTGCGATGCAGCGGCCCCGCCGTCACCCTCCCCAACGTCGCTTCTGGAGTCGCTGCCGCCCCGGCTACCGAGCCCAGCTTCCCGCCACAGCTCACAGGCGGAACACCCGGCTGAGGGGCGCCGAGGGCCACGTCCCAGGGAGCAGGAAAGCACCTTCCAAAACACCTCCCGGACTCTTGACAGCCGTCCCAACGCTTCAGGGGTCTGCGGCAAGGACGGAGGGGCCCCCCCCACGTTGTCAGGCCGGCTCTAAGGCGAGGTCAGAAAGGCCCCAAGAAGGAGGCAGCTGAGCGCTAGGCCTTCTACCGCACAAGCGCCCGGCGGCGCGCGGTCCCAGGGCCTCCGCACCCCAGCGGGTCTCCTCTCCCTGCACGAAAGCGCCCGCCCATCGAGGACCCGCAACGTGGCGTGCCTCTCAGAGTCCCACGGTCTTCTGGTGGCAGGAGCATGGGCGCCAGGATGGGGACACGGGCATCCCAGGGCTTCCTGACCACAGGGCTCCCGAGAGGCTTGAGGCGCCAGCCCCCACCGGGGTGCCTGGGCAGCCACCCGCACCTCTGGCCCGAACTTCTGTCCCTGCAGGAAATACGGGGGGGGGGGGGGGGGAGCTTCAGGCAGGCGGGATGGAGGGCACCCGAGCAGACCCCCCAGTTCCCCAAAGGCACGTTGGCAGCACACAGGGCGCCTGCTTTCCACCCCGGTTCTACCGCTGGATGCCGGCTCCCATCTGCCTGTCGGTCAGGGAGACACAAGGGGGACCAGGCCGGCCGCCACCCAACCACTGAGGCCAGAACCGTCCCCCAAACCAAGACGCCTGCAGAGCAGCCTCAGGCCCGTCCGCAGCTGCGGCTGGGCTGGAGGGCGGTTTGGCGGGCTTTGCGCCTGGGGGGCCCCACTCCTCACCCAGCGGGAGCTCCCCACGGACCCAGGAAGGAACGCGGCTCTCGCACCAAGAGCAGAGCCCACCAGCAGCGGACAGAGAGCCAGCCAGCCAGGGCGCTGGGCACTGAGGCCGCGACCTGTCAGCCCACCCCACTCGGGGCGCCTCGGCCCGCGCGCGGCCGCCAAGAACCAGGAAGTGGCCGCGCACCTCGCCACCGTCGGCTGGCGCCGCGCCAACCTGGAGGAAGACGGCGCAGGAAGCAGGCGAGCCGGGCCGCGCGCTCGTTCACACCCCCCACTTTCACTTTCCGCCCGTGGCTGCGGGCTCCGCGAGACCCTAGCGGGAACGGTGTGTTTACAGACCCCTCCACGCAAAGCTGGCGACCCGGGCACGCCAGAGCCTCCGCGGCGGAAGAAAAGCAATTACTCCACTTCCCAAAAACAAAACAAACGTCACAACTGTGCCAACCGCCCACCCCACCGAAAGCGTTTTAAACCCCTCCTCCCGGCCCGTGGAGGGCGGCTGCCGAGGAGCCACTTAGAGGCGCGGGTTTCTAACCGCCCAGGGCCCAGCAACGGGGCCCCCAGGTCAGGAGAAGGGTCGCGGAAATACACCTCGCCTGGCGTGGCCTTCCGTCCCTCACGCCGCTTCGTGCCCAGCCTTCTCGCATCGGTAACCACCAGCCCACGTCAAGCCCTCAGGAAAGTAAAGGGCAAACACAGACCTTTATTTGCAAACGAGAGGCCCGCCTTTGGGGCTGCGGGGGAGGGGTGGTGACTGAGCCCCTAACTCCAGGGGGTTCGCCCTGCAGGGATTCAGAGCTCTTCTGGGTCCCCCTCGAAAGCACAAAGTGCCCCCCCCGCTCCCAAGCAGGCCAGACCAGGCAACCCTGCCCGGGTTTCAGCCTTTCCGGGGGCCGCTCCAGAGACCCAGAACAGAAGCCCCACAGCAAAGGGAAGAACTAGGGCGAGAACTTCCCTCCGGGTCGCCCCAGGGAGGGGTCCCTCCGCTAAAGAGAAGGGGCCCCTCTAGCCAGGCAGTTAGCCCACTGATACACCCCCTCCCCTTAACGTGCAGTCAGTAACCCCGTGAACACGGGGACGGGCCGGGGACACCGGTTATGAACTTCTGGGAAGAAAGCTTTCCGCCAGAAAGAAGGGTCGCAGCACACGCGGGGATTGGGCCCCAGGGAAAGAGCTCACAAGATAAACCACGGGGCTGCCCAGGGGCACCTCCTGCAGACCCCGTTGAGTGCCCCCACTTTTGTCTCCAAAACTATCCCTGGCCGCAGGCTGCGCCAGGCCTCTACCCGGCCCTGCCCCCTTAGAAGCAACCGGTGGAGAGAGGACCCGCCTCCCCCGAGCCCCCAGCTTTACTCTCGGGAACCCACTGGAAAGTGTGGACGTTGGAGGTTTGGGGTGCGCACTTCTCCCCGATGGGCTTGCACCCTGCTGTCACACCGGTGCCCGCCCTGAATAGGAAACAGAGGAAGCACCCCCGGCCCGCCCGCTCCAACTCGACCTCGTCCGAATTAAGCGTTTTGCAGGCTGATTTTAAAACGGGAACTGCGTCTCCCCCCGCGGGACTGCACCGACCCTGCCAAGGGGCTCAGAGTCGGCAAAGGGCCCCGAACTCTGGGTGGGCGCTCCCCCCGAGCCACGCCGCCGGCTCCTAGGCGGCCACGCGGGGCCGGGGCTCGGGCCTGGCCTCGCCCCCCGCCCCGGACGCGTCGACCGCCCCAGCGCGAGCCTCGCGGCGGCGGCGGCCGAACCCGCGGCAGGCGGGGCGGGAGCAAGGAAAGTGGCGCCAGAGCGCACGACGCGGCCCGGGACGCGCCGCGCACCTCACCCGCCGCGTCCTCCCCGGTTTCCCCCTCCAAAAGATGGCGGGCAGAGGAAAGGGGGAAAAAATCCCTTCCGTGAGGCAGGGCGCGCGGAAGGCCGGCTGGCGCGGGGCGCGCAGGCCGTGCCAACTCCAGGCTGCGCGCCCCGGCCGCAGCGACGCCCCCGAGCCCGGGACGCGGGCGGCCGGGAGGGAGCGGGAGGAGGGCGGAGGGGAGGGGGCCCAGGCGGCCGCCGCGCTTTGTTGCATCGTGGCCGCGCACAAAGGCGGCGGCGGCGGCGGCCCGGGCGCTCGGCTCCCCGGACGCGCCGGCGGCCTGCGCTGGGGGGGGCGCGGGGCCGCGCTGTCCGGCCCGCCCGGCCCGCCGCCGCCCGCGCCGCCCGCCGTCCCGCGCGCGCAAGGAAGCAAGAGAAAGGCGTACTTGGCCTCGGCGGCTCCAGCGGCCGTCCCCTCCCGGCCCGCGCGGCCGGCTCCTCTTTCGCTCGCCGGCCCCGGCAGCATAATAGACGCGCCGGAGCCGAGCAGGGCTCATGCGCTGCGCCGCGGCGCCTGGCGGGAGTCGTAGTCCGCGGCCGGGACCGCGCCGAGGCTGCCCAGGGGAGGCCGTGGCGCGCGGACTACATGTCCCGGCCCCGCCGGCGCCGCGCCCCACCCCGCGCGCCCCCGCCCGCCACCCGCCCCGCGGACCCGGCCGCGAGCGGGCTCGGGCCGGGGGGCGCGCTGGGGCGGGGCGCCCGCCCTCCCGTCCGACCCCGGCGGCGAGGCGGGGACCCCGGGGGCCCTCCCTCCAGCGCAGGAGACGTGCGCTTTGGGCGAATTTCCTGGTGCCCCCCGGAGGCGTGGAAAAGGCGGGAGCGCGGCCATCGCCAGCCCGCCCGCCTACCCGCCACTACCCGCACCCGGGGTCTCCGAACCCTGGGTAGGGGGTCGCCCTCGGACTGGGCTAAGCACGGCCTGGGCGGCGCGCACCTGCCGAGAGCCCGTGTTTGTAAACAAACCGCGCTCCTAATTAGGCTGGCGGGGGCGCGCGCGGGAGGGCGGGAGCGGGGCGTCGGGGCGCGCACAGGGGCGCCCCGCCCGGGGAGGAGCTGCGGTCGGCCGCGCCCCCATCTACCCACCCCCTTCTACTCCTCCACTCCACCCGCCTTTTGTACCCACAATGGCTGTGGGCCCGGGAGCTGGAGTACCCTGACTGGCGAGAGGCTGGGCACGTTCCTGCCTCTGCCTGGACCTCGCCCCCAGCCTCAGTTTCCCCATCTGCCCAGTGAGAACAGACAGGCATAAGATCAAAGGTCCCTGACCCTCGATGCCAGCAGTGGGCCACAAAGGTAAAAGGAAGGACCCTGGCCCTTTTTCTGTACTTTCAAAGGCTCAGCAGCTCGTGGAGAGCTTTAGGGTCTCCTTTAGGTGTCAATTACTGGGCTGTGTTGGTAAGTACATATTTATTCTGCTACATTGGAAGGTAGCTGCACCTTGTGTATATTAACCGCTCCCCTCCATAAAAACGCCAGAAACAGCAAATTTTCCTTTGTGCTCGCTGAACCTCACAACTGCAAGGTGGGGTTTCTTCGCGTCAGCGGGACCCACCCCAATCCCCAGGGGGCACTGGGTGTGCTGGAGGCAGAGCAAGGGTCCACTGCGCAGAACCCTCGCGTCTTTACGAGGAGGATCCCTAAAGCCCACAGGTGAGGCCCACACCCCGCTGGACAGGTGGTCTGCCCTGGGCTGCAGGCAAGGCGCCGCGGCGCTGGGTCACAGAACCAACACGTAGGAGGGCAGACGCCAAAGCCAGGGGGCTGGGGAGACAGTTTGCCCGAGAGGCCCTAATGTTCCCTAGCCGCCCCGCTGTCCCCTGCTGGGTGTCCAGGAGACACCTTGCTGCCCTTTCCAAGGCTCTGGAGGAGGGCTCTGGCCGGGGAAGACCTTTGCCTTCTCAGGAGGAAAAGGTCAGGGCGGGGAAGGGTCCTTAGGGCCGCTGTCCTGGCTGCCTCCCTCTCCAAGTGCGGGTTTGCTGTCCGCACACACAGACTCTGTTCCCCCTCCCAGGCCTTGTCCCCGTCCTGCCATCTGGGTCGCATCCTCTGGGACACCTGGGCACTCTGACCGTGAGGGCGGTCCACTTCCGGACCACTTAACGAGATCCCGCCTCACTCCCCCCAGGCTGAAACGGAGAGCCTCTGCCCCAGCCCTGGTCTTGCAGAAGCTGCCCCCAGCAGGCCAGCTGCCACGGCTGCTGACCGACTGCCCAGGATACTGATGACCCCCCGGGGCCTCCCCCTGACTAGAGGAGTCCCCCCAGGAGCATGGCCGCGACCGGGCGCCCCCCGGGGACTGGCCCTGAAGGAAGGAGGCGGGTTCCGCCTCTCCAGGGCCCGGACCCAGCAGGCCGGCCTGCCCACTCGCGGGCAGCCCAGGCGGCTTCGCGGAGCGCCCCTCCCTGCTGCTGGAGAAGTCTGGGGAGCAGAATCTGCGAGAGCAATGTGGGCACCTCAGCCCATCCCTGGGACTTCTTGGGAAACAGGGCTGCCTTAGGAAGGGACTCGGGGGACTCTGATTGTCCCCACCAGCCACTATCCCTCCCTTCTCAGGCTCTCGGAGCCTGACCGCTGCTGGGACTGGGCCCCCAGCAGCGGCTGAGTGCCCAGAGCAGAGCCACCTAATCTCCCCGGCCCGGTTTCCTCATCTGTCAACGGGGACAAAAATAGGGCCTGATCCTCTGGCGGCAGGGGCGCGCGGGCAGGAAAAGCGGGGCTGTGGCCTCCCCGGTCGGGGCTCGCTGCCCTGCCTGGGTCTCTTACTTACGGGGCCTGGTAACTGGCTTCTCTCCCGCCCCGCCTCTGAGCGGCAGCTCCGTGAGGGCCCACAACCAGGTCTGACACCTCGCGGGCGCTCGAGACCCGTCGCTGAATGAGTAGGTGTGCCCTGCGCACCCGCCCCCGCTCCGCCGCCATGGCAAACCTCGGCGTGGCCGGACCTCCGCCAGCTGAGGCAGCCGCCCTGCTCGCCCCTCAGCGCCCTGCGGAGGCCTCAGACCCACGGCCTCAGAGCTGGCCCGCGGCCCCAAGCCCACGCTCGGGCCAGGACAGGGCCTGGGGCCGCGGCTGCCGCCTCACCGCTTTCCCAGGGGCGGCCAACCTTCGGGCGTCTCTGGGCCACACTGGAAGAAGAAGAGTTGTCTTAGGCCACACGTTAAATATGTTGCAACACGTAATCACAACACACGCACACACACACAGTCTCCTCGTGTTGTAGGTGAATGTGTGATTTCGGGCTGGGCCGCATTCACCACCGTCCCCGGCCGCATGCGGCCCCGTGGGGTTCTGCTGTCACCGCCGCCGCCACCGCCGCCCGCCGGGCCGCGAAGGCCCGGAGCAGTGGCGTTACTGTGTTACCGGTCACACGTCAGTCTCTTAAAAGTTTAATTCTTGTGAGTCCTTCCCCAGGAGACTGGCCAGCTCTCGGAACTAAAGGAAAAAGGAGTTTCTGTCGCCACCAAGCAAGGCTAAGCGGCAAGGGCTCGGCGGGCGGCAGCGCCGGTTTCCGGCCACACAGGCGTTCCCCGGCCACTTACCGGGGACAGGCACGGCAGTTAGGGCTTTACCCGCAGAGTTTCCCTGGGTCCCCAACCAGTTCTATGAGGTGGGGACTGTTAACCCGCCTTACAGATGAAAGGGCGGCACGCGGCACAGTGAGGTTGAACCACTGGCCTGAGCCATGGTTTGGCCCCAGAGAGGGGTTTACATTTTTTTAAAGACTTTATTTATTAATCTTTAGGGAGGGGGGAAGAGAGGGAGGGAAATGTTGATGGGTTGCCTCTCACTTGCCCCCCCCCCCCAGGGACCAGGCCCGCAACCGAGGCACATGCCCTGAGTGGGAATCGAACCGGCAACCTTTTGGTTCGCAGGCCAGCGCTCGATCCACGGAGCCACACCGGCCAGGGCGGGGTTTATATGTCACCTGCAAACCATGCTACAGGAGCCTGCCTTGTGGGAAGAGAGAAAAGGGGTGTATTGGAGGGAGCAAATGCCCGTCGGAGTTCATTAACCCTTCTCTTGGTGTGGGGAGCCCGAGGGAGGGGACGGCGGTGGGAGCTAAACCTTCTCGCTGCCCTGGGCTCCTGCCCGCAAAGCGGATCATTGGCACAGAAGTCAGAGTAGCTGCTTTAAAAGCCCAGAGCAGAGACGTCCCAGCCACGGACAGAAAGAGTGAGCTGAGCTGTACTGCTTTCCTGTGGCCCCGAGGCGAGAGGACGGGGCGGGGGTGGGGCGTGTGTGGCCCCCCCAGAGTCCGGGCCTGCTCCTCTGTAAAACGGGGACAGTGACCACCTGCCCCACGGGGTTGTTGCGAGGATGCACGAGGTGCACGTTCTCGCGAGACAGCGCCCGCGCCGGCCCTTCCCTCAGGCCCCGGGCGCCCACGGAGGGCGCACCGCGCCCAGGGCCGGCTCCTGCCTCGGCAGGGGCGAGGGACAGCGAGATGAAGCTCCGGTGGCCGCGGGGCGAGCGCGCGGGGGACGCGCAGACCGTCGTGAACGCACCGTGCGGCGTGCCCGACGGTGCCCGGGGCTGCGGGGGAAAATCGGGCCGGAGAGCCGGGGCGCTGGGCTCCGGGGCCTCGCAGCTCCACGAGGGAGCTGGCTCAGCGGGCGACCTTGGCTTGTTCCTTCCGGATCCTTCGTTCCTTCCGTGACAAACAGGCAGACGCTGCACCGTGAAGCCAAGGTTTGTCGGAAGGGGCGATCCTTGCAGTAGAGCGGAGGGAGGGCCGCCGGGGAGATGCTCCAGGCCGAGTCTGGGGAGCGGGGCCTGGGCCAGCGGCTGGTGCTCTGGCCGCTCCTGGGGGTCGGACGGTTTAAACAGTGAGGGTGGCGGCCCCCGGGACAGCTTTCTGCACTGATGACAGCGTGGCCCCGTGTGTCCCCTTCCCATGCCCCCCGCCTCTGAAGGAACCCCGAGACTATGAAATACTGTGTTTAAAATGATTGAAGACGGCCCTGGCTGGTACGGCTCAGTGCACTGAGCGGTGGCCTGCAGGACCTGCTCAGTGCACTGAGCGGTGGCCTGCGGGACCGAAGGGTCGCCGGTTCCAATCCTGGTCAGGGCCCAGGCCTGGGCTACGGCTGCGTCCCCAGCAGGGGGGCGCGCGAGCAGCAGCCACGCATGGGATGTTCCTCTCCCTCTTTTTCTCCCTCCCTTCCCCTCTCTCTAAAAATAAATAAAATCTTAAGAAGAGATCTATAAATAAGTAAATAAAGTCTTTAAAAACAATCCTGAAACGTGTAGAAGAAGATATGTAGGCTGCACAGAGATTTCAAATTCAGCGAAAATGATGAACAGCCGCTTAGATACAGCTGAAGAGAGAATTAGTTTCCCAAACACTAAGTTTCAGTAAATCAACCAGAATGAAGCTTAGAGAAACAAAGACAGAAAAAATGTGAAGATTGGAAAATTCAGGTAAGAAATAGGAAAGAGCCCTGGCTGGTGCGGCTCAG